GAATAAAGATCCCATCCACAGAAAAATGGTGTATACAAAGGAAGCGTTTGTAGAACCGATGACTTTGATCCAGAAGAAGCTATAGTCTACCGCAGATGTGAGCAATTAGATGGGCTCACGCCACGCGAGCCGATAGCTAAGCTAGTTGCTCGTGTGCGCATGATGGTTGCTGCAGAATAAAACACACGAAGCCGTGAGGAAAATGTCTGTTATGTTTAGTTTTTTGTCCGCGCATGAAAAAATCTTAACATTTTTGCGGCTGCTTGAACTAAGTGCTGAGCTGCGAGCATGCATTAGCTATGATATTGGCCAATGAAATTCGTGGTTTTCTCACGTGGTTATAAAAACATGGCGGACTTTTAAGCGAAGCCATCGCGGAAAAAAAATTAGTCGAGATATGGCCAGAATTTCTCCGCTTTTATGATGTACGTTTAGCGAATTGAAAATCAACATAAGAGACAAAAAGCTTTTGAACAGATGACTGACGCAGTTAATCAAAACGATAGGTGATATAGTTGGCTACACACTTTTACAACGTACTCTTTGTAAATATTATTGTTGTTAACTTTAAATACAGTGGACTGGGTAAAAAACAAGCTACGATCGCTACGAAATGGTTACACAAAAGCAAAAAAGGCGCCGCCTTCAGGAAATGCAAGACGAAATCCCTCTAAACGAACAGCGTGGTTGCTAAACAAACTACAGTTCCTGGAACAGTATGACGCTAGCAGATCAACAACATCCAATTTGAACGAGGTATTTTTTCAATCTCTAAAATATTTAAAGACCACTCATGTACTCTTGCCAAGGTACAGAGCCAGCTTCTGACACAAAATATTTTGCCAACTCTTTGCGCTGCTCTTTTGCTGTGGTTGTTGAATTTCTCGACGAACTTGCTTGCAGCCCAAGCAATTCGAGATATTGTCGCCACTGGCCATATGTAAATTCAAACTTTTCTGTGTCTTCAAAATCTTGAACACTTACATAGGTGCTGTTCTTTTTTTCAATCATAAAATTGTGTAGGCAACAGGAAGAAAGAATGATGTCAACTACCTTGTCAGGATCAAGTTTGACGGTGGTTAAAAATATTCTAAATCTGTTAGCTAGGATTCCATAAGCATTATCCAAGTTCTGATGGGGGCAAGGCTTCATAATATCGTTTTGCAGAGGAAAAGCAACATCAACAACCAGGTAGCAGCATATTCTTTTAGAATCTCCTTCAATATTTTGTGCTGGTGGCAGTTGAAGACTGTTAGTATTCATAGCTTTCTTTAGTGATGAATTTCCAAACACACCAGCATCACCAGCCCGACCAGTTGCACCAACACTCACTTATAAAAATTTATAGTTGGCATCAACAAGAGCAAGCAATACAACACTAAAAAAATGTTTGTAAGTAAAAAGTCAGAACCAGAGTCTGCTGGTTGTTGTATTGCAATGTATTTGCCATCAAGGGCTCCAATACAGCATGGCTAATGCCATTTTTTGTAGACATTACCTGCAACTTTAAGCCATTCATCTTTATTACATGAAACCTAAATCCAAGCAAAACTATCTGATCACGATTTTCAAAGTTAAACTTTGTGTTAAAATGTGTAATTACTAATTCTACTCTATGAAATTCTGCCTTTACATTAGAAAAGTTCTACTTTAGCAACAGAGGATGGCAATGAAGAAGATAGTATGCAGACAACCTCAACTTCCTGATGATAATTTGATTCTGATGATAATTTAATTCATGCCTCAAATACATCAACACCATCTGCGAAATCTACAAAAATGCCCACTAAGGCACAAGGAAAGCCATTAAAGACGAAGTTGCAGGAGGAGGAATTAGATGTTATGAAGTGTCTAGCTTCTTCAATTGCCAATAAAAACAGAAAAGAAAAAAGTGAATGTGGACAGTGTGAATCATATGGAAAATTCTTTGCAGAGTCTTTAAAAGAATGAATGAATCAACAAGGCATATGGTGCAGTACCACATCAACAACGCATTATTTCAGGCACAAATTGGTATGCTAAAACCAGGTCAACTCAACGTGACAGTACCGTAACCTCAAGAGCAGTACTCCTCTCAGCAAAGTCGATACCTCCCACAGCAACAGTCATAAATGCATCACGGAGCTTAGTAGATGTAACATTGCACTACTTAAGTTAACATATTCAAAATACTCGTTCTGTTGAGTTGCTCACTTTTATATTAAGCATGCCTATGGTGACAAATTACATAAATATTTACTAAGAAAATTTAAAGGGCAGATGCCTGGGCAGTTTTTTTGCTTTGCATACCCTAATTACAGGGTTTTTTGCCTTCCGCCAATGTCAATTTTCTGATTGTTCGTCCTTTATAATTATTTATTGTTTTTATCTACCCACTTTTAAAAATTGTTGCTTCATTGATGCAAATAATGCCGAACATGTACATTAACAATGAATGATACCGTCCTTTCTCCCATTCTGTACTGGAATGACAGGCTTCTAAATGATTCTCCTAAAATTATCGCAGTCGACATTGAAGCATCACAGTTTTGAGTTTTGATTCGTGTTGACACAAATTACAGCATACCAGTGGCAAGAAAACGTAGGGTAACCGAAAGTCTTTCTTCTGGGCTGATGGTTGCTCTCATTACTGTCTCCTTCTTGCTACTAATAATTGGTCAAACAATTATTCAAATAAATTAATAGGCGATAATATTGCCTAAACGATTCTGGTTCCTCACCCTCTAATTCACGGAGAAGATTAGCATAAACACTATGTCCTTGATGTTTTTGTATCAACGTTTTGCACCATGATGAGCAGCATGCAGCTCTTAAACGTCGGCGACGGTGGTGCATTAATATGAATAGAAGAGCAACTCGGTGAACGTTGATGTTGCCTGCCATTTTGAAATTTCGCGTGTAATCAACTTAGCATTTTACTGACGTTTGCGACGAACGTATGGAGCTGTGCTAACTGTCACGCATGGTAATGAGCTGAGCTAATTGCTCACGTCTGCGTCAGGCTTGTGGAAGCAGCCATTGATAAGAGAAAGCTTCTTATCAACAACCTTTCAAAAGAATATTACTTTGCTGAGACTACCTATGAAGAAGAAGATTAGTCTTAGCTGATGAATTACGTTGAATTAATTGTCTCTATGTTCAATAAATTCTTTTGATAGCAGAATAATGCAAAAGTTCTTTAATATGCCATAGCTGTAAAAAGCCTCTCCCTCCTTATTTATTTTTGTGTCTAACTAATTTATGCAAATACGACAGGAAAATCTCTTCAGATATGGCAGATTTGTGATGGCAAGTATTATGCAGTGGAGCTGTACAAAAGCAAATGCGTCCGATGTAAATTATTAAAAAAAGAAAAAACGAGTTTGTATCACTTATGGCGACGCGAATCTATACAATATTTAACAAAGTCAATTTGATCATCTGCAATGTATGTAATAAGTTTATAATGGTTATAACTTGTGCTAACGTCGCTCTCTTGACGTTGTTAGTGTTGGTGATTTCTTCCAAATAGTAGGTACGGCACCAGGTTTGAGCCGTCTAGTCATACCACTCAAATGGAATAAATGCTCAAAACAATGTTCGATAAGTGATTCGAACATATCATAAATCGAATTTCGGGCAAACTCGGATTAAAATTTGCGCGTTTCGTCTGAACAAATTTAACCCAAATTCTTCTCTAAGACTCGTCATTTGGGCTTTTATGGAAAGAAATGCCTGTACTTCTATCAGTTTTATTACTGCAATCTTGCTCAACATAGCGTGTTGGGATGTTAAAAAAATTGAGTTATACAAACTTTTAAATCTCTATTTGTATATAGTGTTATATTGTAAACAGCCGCGAGTTAAGACTATGACGTCACAAGCACCTTCCTTCTTGAAAATTCAAATATGGCGCACTTTAATGGCGGCTCTTAAAGTTCAAGTTTTATCGCTACGTAACTCGAGCAGCATTAAATATATTGCGATAAAATTTCGCCAGAAGACATTTTTTTACATACACTATTAATCTATGAAAAAAAAATGAGAGGCAAAATTTTCGTCATATTAGCACTTTAAATGATCATTTCACTTGATCTGTCAAAGTCAAAAGAATGAATCGCTCCATGTGTTGCAGCCATAAGATTCTTTGTTCCCATAAGTGCATACAGCGTAAATAAGCCGACGATTTTTGAATATAAAATTAAGTAAGAACGCAATAATATTCTCGGTAATTGTTAAAAGTTTTCAAATCAATCCACAAGCCCATCTCGATTATCGGATGAATTCTGTGAAACTTCAGATAGTTTTTACATTGAGGTCTAATTTTGTCATTTCAACCCTAGAGTGTGTAATTTAATTTTTATTGGAGTCTACCAACTTGAGCACTTGCCAAGACCTTACAAAAGCTCACTGTCTCGTTTTCAAGTTTCATTATTTTGTCAACAACAAATATTTTACGCCATTCTTTACACGTATATTTTATGGTTTCAAAGCCGTGAACTGGGGATATACATAAACGTATCATTATGTCGTAACCTTTATGAAATAATTACGCCAAATGGTCAGCAAATAGATAGAAAAAGTGAAACGTATCAAATTCGGGCATTCGCAAAAATTTCTTGGACGCTCAAACAGTAAGTATTGGTTATTTTCATAACTTCTGCAGATAAGTAAAAGCGCCCTCAGACAAAAATACATGTTTTATACATTCATGTATTGAGATACGCAGCATGAACGCCAGACGTTATCGGTAAGAAAAGTAATCCAGTATAAGAAGAGTCGGGTCTACGTTGCCTTAAAAATTGATTGTTTTGCTACACTTCACATATAAATAAAAAGTCATAGCTATATCGTATAAGAAGTCAACAACGCCGATACATATCAAAGTTCTTTTGACACTTCCATAATAATTATTGATCTTTTCCTTGAATTGCTGAGTTTGAAGATGAATCAATTATGTCAAGATGTCAAGTAATAAACACAAGTATCAATGAATATTTTATTATTTACCAAATCTACAGTTGGTGAACGCAGAGGAGGAAACGAAAGAATGTTTTCGTTTACAAAGAGTGGCTGTGCTTTGTTGGTGGTGTTTTTTATGTTTCGTGGAAGTTCCGAGACAGTAGAAGAATTTTCATTGCTTTATTTGAAACAGTTGGGCTACGATTCATTTTATGTTGGTTTGATGCCTCTGTTTGGTCTATTTACACAGTTGACTGGTGTTCCTGTTTGTGCATATTTATCTGATAAATTTCGAATCCGCAAATTTGCTTTGATTCTGGCTGTTTTTACCAGCAATATTGATGTATATGATTCCTCTAGCGACAGGTTTACCGTGTGAACTATCAACACAGATAGACGATAGGTTAAATTTTCCAAGCCAAACCTTGACGAAATTTATAAACAAATCAGTTACACGTGAGAGAATTACAAAGTAGAATGTTCAGCAATTTGACCGTCAATAATTTGCCTGCTGGAAATAAAACTTATGTGTTCGAAGACAAAAGTGGAAAGAAATATGATAGCCAGAAAATTTTATATTTTCTGTTACTCTGTACGGTGAATGGAATGTTTGAGCTTTGTAGAAGGCTGACAGTTGGATTAGTTATTGTCGCTGCAATAACTCATTTAAAAGACAAAAAATCAAAATTTACATTGTACGAAGGAAGTGGTGCAGCAGGAACTGGAATTACTCTTTGTGTTGTCTCATTTATTGCTGGGCACTTTAAATATACGAGATGCGGTGTAGAAATACCAAGTTTTTTTGTTGCATTTCCAGTAGCGGCCGCTCAGCAGTGTTTCACTTTGCTGGGCGTACTTTGGTTGAAGTTTGATTACCAAGACAAAGATGACAATGTAAATTATAAAACAGCAATATTGACATTATTGAAACCGCACTACATCTTTATTTTGTGTATTGGATTACACGTGGGTGCATGCAATGGGTTCATAACACGTTGGCAGTACTGGTACATGGACAAATTCGGTGGAAGTACGACTGTCATGGGTGTTGAGGGATTATTAAAGCAGTTAGTCCTTGCAACGTTTTGGTGTGTGGTCACTGTTCATGTCCTCAACACCTTGGGGGAATATGCTACAATGGCCGTTTCTTTATTCCTTTTCGCAATTTCGTTTGCACTACTTGCCTTGATCAAAAATCTTTGGCTCGTTATTCTTATTGATAACTTTGAACTAGCTGCTTATATATTTTTTTATTCAGCAGTTGTTCTCTATTTTTCAAACGCAGGGTCGGAAGCATTGTCGGTTTACATTCAAGGTAAGAATAATTTAGAGCTTTTAGTTCTATGAGTGATGAAAGTCTTTCATGTCATAAGTACTAAGATAATCACAAACAAGAAATAAACCTAAAATGACTATTTTAAAGAAGATAATTTTTCGTAAATTAACCTAGGTATTTAACTTTCCCTTTTTAAAGAACACCTTATTTTCCTTTATTAATGCTAGTATTATATAAAATTTTATGGTTATTTGAATGAAAATGACAATAATTAGAATGATGGCAACGCCAATCATCTGTTGTTCAACAGAGTAAAAGACCTTTCATACGTCCAAGTATGCATTATTGTTAGTCATCGTTATGCAGCATTAGGCAGTATTAAGCATTCATACATTAAATTAGGCTTGCATTAATATAATAAACAATTGATGTGTTTATTTTTACGAATGGGACTTTTAAGCTCTTTTGAGGTTCGTTCATAGTTTACCCAAACCGATTGGTAATATGAGTTTACTTTAAAGTAAATGAGTTTATTTTGATGCTTAAGTTAATGGAGACGGCTTACCACATCCCTATTCTACAGCATGCTGTAACTAGCTATAGGGAGCATAAAGAAACGCGCATGGGAAAGTCGCTATAGTCATCAGCACTTAACATTTGCCAAAATGTTAGGTGGAAATAGTTCATTGCACTTCAAATAATCCATCTGATATCAGTAGCTTAATTAGTTATTCGATAATTTTTTGCATTGGGGGCGGGGGCACAAATTTATATACGTTTGTCTTAATCCGTAGAATATAGTCAAATCCACGAGCAGACGACTGAACGAGCACACATTTCCTGTACACACAAACCAATGTCGTAAGAACCAGATAACAAATACGGCTAACCTGACGTTTACTCCTCATTTGACTCTGAAGATGAGTACCGCTAAGATTGTCGAAACGTCAGTCAACAACAACAAAAACAGTCCTTCTCAGGACTATACCAACCTGGACGATCTACATTTACAAACATGTAACGATACTCACGGGTTCAAACCATTCACTTTAATATAAAATAAATTATAAAGGAACTCGATAAGGAAAAGCTGGCATATTATATGGACCATCAATTAACCATCTTTCTACACCAATGCCCGTCGTAAATTATTGTCGTCGAGATTTCTTGACTAAAAATCTATATTGTTTTGTTTGACGTTTTTAGTTGATTTAATTGTTATCAAATTTTTTTGACGAGCACATATAGTCACTTGCTTGAAAACGTTTTTACTTTATATAACAATATTTTAAATTTTAAATAGTTTCAAGGACAAATTTGCTTTCTTTGAATACTACTAGTAGCTTTATAATGATTTTAATTCTACCCAATGATTTTTTATATGCTTTAGGTGTTGTAACTCTTGTTATCAATGGCGTTGGAAAAGACGTTGGCTCAATTTTGACTGGATATTTTTTTAAAGCATGTGGCATCAGGACAACTCTTTATGGATATTCAGTCATCTCTCTCATTTTGCTGACAGTCTTTGCATTGTTCGCTCTCACACAGAACAATGCGCAAGACTACAAAAGCTAGAAGCAGAAGATAGAATTAAAGATGTTCGGAGTAGAGATAAGCCTCAAAAGTGAATGAAGCCACCATGTGGAGTGTTAAAGTCCTGCTAAAGTTTCAATATGCAAATCTAGGAGCGGTTTTATTCTTTTTATCTCTTTGTTGCATGACGTAGATCACATGAAATGCTTTGTTTTAATTTATTCTATCAAAGCATGTATTGAGTTTCTAAGAAGTTTTAAAAGTTATTTTGAATGGAAAACAAACTTCAAGTGTCTTCTATTTACAGCAATTTTCTCCAGAAATTTAGATTTTCCACTATAATGTCTTTTGCTTAAATCGTGTATAATTATAGACTTAAATAATTTGATCCACAAACATATGTTTTCACAAACAGAATACTGACGGTATATAATTAAGAAAATTGCACAAAACAGTTTAAATAAAATTTGTTGCAAAATTGTTAGAGTTTTCAATGTTAAAAAACTATCATTGTGTTTATTATTGAGCTATTTTTTGCTTTTTGTGTAATTTACTTCGCGTAAGATTGTTAGCAGTGTTGCATAGCCACCCTGCAAGTTTTATTATGCTGCATAAGCTTCCGCGAGCATTTTAAAATTCATTTCTTTAAGAATGCATTGTCTTCACAGTGAAGAAAAAGAGAAAAAACTACCATAGCATGACCAAGTTAACATGCTGACTACACCATGTAGTGATGTTGTACTACGTACCTATGATACACAAGATTCTTCAAACTTCGTTTCTCAAACTTTGCATGTTCATATAGTCTCTCTTGACACAAGATGTAACCATTCGAAAATATCTTCTAGGTAATCGAAGTCACCAAAAATTGGACAACAAAAATCACAAAGCAACAAGCCAAATGTTAAAGTGGTTATATCACGAATTTTGCCCCCCTTTTTTATGAGCTTAATTGAAAATTTGGATTATTTGAAGAACTATGACATGTCGCTGGACTTAAACAGATAAATATAAGTTGCTTAATTTTGCCTCCAAAGTCGGGTACTATTAGCGAATTTTTTACGACGCCATATTGATACTTGTGACGTAGATAGTTCAACACGTCTGTTTCCGTCAGTATAATATTATATTATAGGAGGTGATTTTGTTGTCGTTTTTCTTGTCTTAAAAACAAATAATGACAGTATTTTCAATAAAATATTAAAAAACAAGTTGTCCGGAAAGTATGGCCTCAAATCAGTGCTCAGATAATTCGAATTCGATGTCTGAATGCGTATCTGATTCGAGCTCGGAATCCGTGGGTTATGTCGAGCATTTAAACGACTTCGCATATGACGATGAACCGCTCGCAGTAGATGGTGATGAAGTGCATACTCCAGATGATCCCGATGGAATTCTCCCTGCGACCTTAGAACAACGAAGTGATGGCGTAATTCCACTCGGTGAATGGTAAGTTGTTGTTTTCTCCTGTTTGTAATATACATAAAGTTACTTTATAAACCACAATGCTCCCACGTTTCAGGTGTAATTGTCAATTCCGTCATACCGATTTGTTAGAAGGCGCATTAGAGTACAGATGCTTTAAGGAAATAGGACCAGCTTTGCAGAAAATGACATTCGATGGCAGCATTGAGAAAATATCATGCATAACACAGCATGCCAAATTTGGGCCTTTAGTTCATGAGGCTGTCCTTGAAAACGTCGGGCCACTATTGAGAGATAGGAATGGACGTGCTTATCGCCGCCAAGCATCACAATCATGAAATATGTAAGATTGTAAATTGTATGAGAAACAATGTTATCATCAACATTGTTTCATCAACAATAATTAGTCCAACCTTTTTATTTACTTCAGGTACTTGAGAGCTGTGGCATACAGATGGTTGATGCGATGGTTTTGTGGGTCTATGGGATGGGAGAATACTCGGCCTTTAACTGCTTGTGTTTACCACTTTATTCGGAGAGCATATCCAAGTGGTAACACAAAAGGTTACATACCATCAGAGGGTGATGATGGAAAGGTCTTTTAACTTGTGCACTGTAGAGACTGTTGGCCTTCTTTGCTGAGTTTAGAATGGTCGGGAAATATGCCTAGATGAAAACCAAATAGGAGATACATGGATGTACTATATGGTAAAGAAAATCTTTTCTTCAATGTCAGTCTGGGAAAAAAGACAAAAGAAAAATTATATGGAATTAAATCATAGCATAAATGTAAAAATGGAAAATAGCAAGCCACATGAACTTATCTTATAAGGTCTTCACACTTGAGTGCACTGCATCCGCAAAGGGCATGTTCAGCATTAAACTACAGTAAAAAAAATTATTCATGAAAATTAATTAGTTGCACAATCGAGTGAGATAGTCATCTTCAATCTGACAAGTATACATACCATTCAATGTTATATTAATACTGTAATCATCAGGAAAGGTGCGTATATCAGTGCCCAGATAGGGAGGCTAGAGGGTACTATCACTTGCCTAAGGTGAACCCTCAGGCTGGTGGTGGGAAGGAGGTGCCTTACTTCTCCATTCCAGACAGGCTCCAAGCAATGTCTGACCACTGCCCTATCATCTACCAACTTCAATTTATTCTTTTCAGTGGAGCATTGACCTCGAGGATGTCCTTTTATTGGAGCTTTGCATTTAGTACATTTTTATACCAGTTTAAAGTCTTTTGTAAAGATGTAAGTTTTTTCTTAAGACGATGGCACGATTTACATGGAGACTGGGATTCACAAGGATCTTCACCAACTGCATGTAGTTCTTCTTCAAATGGCGAATCGTTTGCTTCCCCAGTGCATACTTCAACATGCTCAGCTCCATCACTAGTAGATGGTACTTCCTCATCGAGAGAACATGTTTCCTTCAGCGATGGCTTATGGAGAGTATGTCGAATAATCTACAAAACTTATATCGAATTTATATGACAAAAGAAAAATTAACATAAACAAGCGTAAATTTGCTTGTCTGCGCTTTCGATCGGTTATTTCGTCCTGTAATGGTTCAGGAATCCCAGCCACGTCAATGGTTGGGATAGCATCTTTCTTCAACCTTCTTTTGAGCTTGACTTGCACGCTCAAATTAAGGTCAAAACAAGAATCTTCAAAATGCGCAGAACACAGACACGAGGTAGAGGAAGCCTCAAAACCCGGTCTATGTTTACGCACAAAATTTACCCATTTTCTATGTCTTTGCGGCTCTGTTTCTTTTTTAGGAAACAGACGCATCGACATTCCTTCTGTTTTTGAATCATTGGCGCAACTAATTTGATTAGGTCCGCCAGCAACACAGCGTTTTCCTCCGCGTTTCTTATTAAGATTACTGGTAGAATACGCCATGTTGATATATGTGTTCAACTTTCTACGTCACAAGTCATTAGCATACCGATCAAAAGTTCGCAAAAATGCTGAAAATCGTGACTTTGAACGTCCGTAAAATCACTTTCACCAATCCAATTTCAATTATAACTGCAGATTTAAAATCACTGAAACAAGGTCTTTCAATTTAGCTAATAAAAAAGGGGGGGCTAAAATTCGTAATATAACCACTTTAAGTTGAACCGCACTATATTTCGCCTGAAGACGCCACTATATTGGGATTGGACTTTATAAAAGATGTTGGTTTGTGATAAACAAATAATTTGTGTCAAACTCATTATGCTTGCATTCAATCGTTTTTTTTGGGACCTATAAAAATGCTTGGCCTGAAAGCAGTGGCGTATCAAGCCCGCAAATTTTGTCTTGCTTATTAAATTTTAGATCATTATCATTATTCATCTCTTTAGAAATCTTTTGTTTTCACAGCGAGTGAACACAGAAAATTTACATAACACGACCACAGTAAAGAAACATAAAGTAGTCTCACTCCACAGAGGGAATTGGTGCTGCATATTTAATTAGATCACTGCCTGCGGCTAGCAATCTCTGCCCTCCTATTAGCCCATAAAAGCAATGGACTGGCTGCCACTATTCTAATCACTTGCGTAATAAGATATGCGCTACACAAAAAGTTCTATAGAGTGGGAGTCTATAGTGTGGCACGACCAAACTTGCGGACTGACTATGAGGCTAATTAAGAAGCTAAAGACAATAATGGGAAGTGCAAAAAGTGGAAGTAATATAAGTGCAAGTAAATTTTTTTTTATAAACTGACTTGAACATTACAGGCTATAGACTTGGATGTAGGGGAAGAGCAGTAAACTGTAAAAAAGCTACAATGAACGCAAAGTTATTGGAGAACTTGAACGATTCGACTTAGAAAGTGAAGTAAACTATGCCCAAAAGTTAATGAATTTATGTCATTCAGGCAGCGTCATTTATAGTTTTGAGTCAATTCCTAACGATGATGAATTGTGTTTTCAAACATAAACTTTAGTAGTACCTCTGTTTACATGCACAGAAGACGCTAAATAAGTTTTACTTGTATTCGTTCCTATACATTGATATGACCTAATTATTAAAAATGCTATATATTCTAAAGCAGACTTGTCATTGCTGGTGTAGCGTAACAAGAGCTTTAAACTTTTAATGCTGTCATAAATAAGTATAAACTTGATATTGTCGTAACTTGACCTTTTGTGGCTTTATCAATAAATACGTGACCTTGGTCTGTTCTCTTAATAAAATTGAAATTTATAGTCGGGACGGTGACAGTTCTAATCTTTTATCATTTCTCAATTCAGCTTGAACAATGACTCAAAAACGGCTGATATTGGCTTTGCGATCAAAGCCCGTTTTCAATGTGATCATCAAATCTTCGATATTCGAAAAAACAGCTGATTTTGGCTCCGAAAAATGGATACGTGGTTGGATGATCAGGAATGTAGTTTGGTGAAACGATAGAAATATGCTCTATACAATTAAATTTTGCCTTTGGCAATGGCTGACAGTTATTATTTTGGATATGAACAGGAGTAGAGAGATACAACGACTCAACACGCTAAGACAAATGTTCATACAATGAATTAAAACAAAAATAAAGCCGAAATAAGAATTTTATTTTTATTTTATTAATTAACAAAACATCAATCATCAAATGTTGCTCTTGACATTCCTTTATGGATATTACTAAATCTTAATATATAGAAAGGGTAAAGATAAAACACGGAATTCGAAGCGAAATGCGGAATCGGAATGCGACAGCGGAACGCGATGGGGGATAAAACGCGGTATTGAGAAAAAATTCAAATAACCTCCGTTTTCGGCAGCCCTAGATAAAACACTTGTACGTTATTGGTCTTTCACAATATTAACCACATGCACAATACATTTGAAAATATATTTTTAAAGTATTCTTATTAATTAGCCCTTTCACAGAGAGTGACATAGTCCTTATAACTTGTGTTTTGGTTTACTTATGTAGCCATCCTTGGTATACCTAAACCTTTGACACCAGCAAGTAGAGATATGACAGTTAACTTAAAAATCATATTTCATGTTCAATGTCTATCTTACAATGTTGAAAACTACTTCTATTTAGTACAATATGAAACGTATTCCAAATAAAAAGTTCATGTTTAACTCAATATTTGAGATGGAAAGAAGACAACTTTTTAATAGTCAAATTTCGAATTAATTACAAATTCATCACAAGACTATATTTACAAGGTAACTGAGGCTCATTTTGTATGTGTGTGTTACATCATTTCAGTGGAAGTGTGGAAGTGTGGAAATTGATTTGATGAATTATTGTGTGGCTGTGAAATCAAATAGTTACATTTCTATGTTGGCTTTAGGCACATTATTTAAGTTCTGAATGGCACGATTTAATAAAGGTGCCTCTATTAGTAAAGGAAAAGTCAAATTCTAATTAAGTTTGTGTTCGTGTAAAGTATTTGGCAGTTGTTAAGTAAGAGATAGATAATGTTTGAAATGCGACTTTTACTATTGGAAGCACTCTTTTATTAAATCATACGAGGCAGAACTCACTAATGGGCTTAAAGCCAGCAAAGAACTGTCACTATTTGATTTCATAGCCACACAATCAGCCTCAGTTATCAGTTAGCTTGTAAATAGAGTGAGATAATAAATTTGTAGTGAATTCGAAGTATAACTATTAAAATGGGATATAAAAACTTTTATTGCAGACATGTTTCGGCAAACTTATGCCATCATCAGTGCGAATGAATGTGTTACAAAATGTGATACAATATACCTTATTTAATATGAAAATACGACGTTGTTATGCGTTATTATTCAGAGTTGAGTTGCTTGTTGAAGCCTTATATATATACATGCTAAACTTACTTAAAATCGTGGCCAGAGATTTGCCAGGCGGAAAGGAATTTTCAATATGAATATATAACATAAGAAAGTTATCACAATAATCAATAGAGAAGGATTTATTAATTCGTCTTTAACTTAAGACATCTTCAGATTAAAAGATGTCTTAAGTTAAAGACGAAACGTAATTAATAAATCCTTCTCTATTTGATTATTGTGATGGCTTTCTTAAAAGTATTATGTTGGGCTATTATGTTCATATTGAAAACTAAACTTACTTATTCTGCATACTAGGTATATAATTTTTATTAGTGGTAATTGTTTCCATTTTTAATAATTCGAAGTTCACGAAGAGAATAAACCATAAAAAATAACTCAACAACATTCGCTAATTTTATTCCGCGATTCATACCGAAGACCGAGTTATATCCCAAATTCTGCGTTTTATCCCCAAGTCTGTTCCACGTTTTATCCCCTAATCCGTTCCAATTCTAAATTCCGGATCAGTATTCCGCTTCACGGTTTTATCCTAACCCATATAGAAAGTCAAGTAACAGCTGAAAACATTTTGTTCAAATGTTAAGCGTGCAGATATTTTAAGCATTATAGTAAATCTAGTAAAGTAAATGGTTTGAACTCGGGAGTATCGTTACATGTTTGTAAATGTCGATCGTCCAGGTTGGTATAGTCCTGAGAAGGACTGTTTCTGTTGTTGTTAACTGACGTTTCGACAACCTTAGCGGTATTCATCTTCAGAGACAAAAAAAAAAATAAAAAAAATATTTGTAAATCTAGGCCACACAACGTGTGAATAATAATGGTTGAATTTGTTTATTGACTGAGCTTATTGCGAGCAATATTTTTAGTGAAACACCTAAATCATGTTTTTTATTTCTCAAATCAATAAGCATATCATACAAATCTATATGTGTAAACCCTCCTAACTGCCATGAACAGCAAACGTCGAAGCAAATCACGCCGTGGTTTACCGGTATAGCCTGTATAAACGCCCATTCACACTAACACTTTAAATCGATTCGAAATCAATTCGAGTCCGTATGAGGGTTAATGTGAACACTTGCAAGTGACGCGAAAACGAATTCGATCCGAACTAATTTGGGCCACTTGACAAGTTGGTCTCGAATCGGATTAGTTTAGTCTGCATGATAATTTGAACATGCAACACTAATAGAATCGGATCAATCTTGATCAATCACGTTTTAGCTTAGTAACTAAACTTTTCGTGCGGTCACACATGTCACGCGTTTCTTTTTGCTGTGTTTTCTTGCAGCAATATTTTATACTTTTACTTATTAGCGAAAAGTAACGCGATGCAACGCCTTGCATTCTTTTGAAAGTATGGCAATAGCGCAATTTCTGGCACATGAATTAAACCAACTCACAAAATTCGTTCTTATAACGTTCTTATATATTTCTATAATTCTATTGTCGCTAATTTATCATCTTTTCCTCAGCACATTACATGTAAAATTGGCAAACTTACATGAATTAATATATCAAATTTGCAAATTGAGCGCGTCTTTAGAACTTGTAAATAGAAATATTACTTTATGATTTAAAACAAACAGATTCCAAAATTCCAAGATTCCAAAATTCCAAGATTCCAAATTCTGGATTCCATGTTTTACAACTTGCCTCTTTAGAACATTTAAATAGAAATATTACTTTGTGATTTAAAAAATAGATTCCAAGATTCAAAGATTCCAAATTCCAGATTCCATGTTTTACATTTTACCATTTTTAACTGGCTCTAGCTATAGCCCCAATTCTTGTTTCCGACGATTGACGATTTATTTTTTTCGTGAAAATCGGGCGTAAAGCCAAATGATTATAATTAGAAAAAACGTCAAATTGATTCGGCAAGTAACGACAACACAGCATGCATGTGCTCATAACGCAAGGTCTGATTGATGATCACAGTTGAAAAGTAGAATCGTATTTCAGTCAATTGCAACCACATCCAAAACACGCAGGAACAAAATTGGCTGCTATATCTTTGAGCTCAGGTAAAATGTAATTACACCATTTTTATTGCCAATATTAACTTGATGTATTTGTTTTGTTTGGTAAAAGATACTTTTTGTGCTGTGAAGTGTGCTGTATATAAAGCGATAAAATATTGTTTACCGGAAAATGTGGAATAAAGTTGCAACTGCAAGTGCACTAAATACTTTAAAATGCTGGTGGGCTTTACGACATGGGTTTTCATCTTCTAACGTTTATCTTTACACTAGAAAATTATATTGATTTATTAGCTTTTGGTCAGAGAAAGAGAAACATATCATACGTTATTAAAGCAAACACAATTTGTGTAGTAAATACTATCATTTGTGATTGTAAAGTCGTTGCTAATGTAATAATTTTATTATTCCAATTTTTTAAATGAGAATAATGGGTTCATTATACTTATTGCAAAACACAGTGTGCTTATTTCCTGTTGCATTGAATGAAGCTTTGCAAATCGCATTGTAATAAAGTTTCAAAATTATGGAATATCATTGTAGTCATGATATTTGAGTAGCCTTGTTTTACTTGATGGTCTCAAATTTCATTTTATTAAAGCAGTATTAAACATGAGGATTTTTTATAGTGCTACCAATATGAATATATACGAGCAACAAGATCTAATGTTTCCCAAACGACATTAGTTTTGCGCATGATATAATAGAGACCTTAAGATTTCACAACGCGCGTGATAACGACGTGAGTTGGCTCGCAAGGCCTGGTGCGAATGCGTCCGCGTGTCATTGTTAGTTAAGTCATTAAGATTGGATTTCTTTTGCGACGCGAACTTGTGAGTTCACTGCTTATACTTTTAAAAATGGCCTCTTTCAAAAAGCAAGAAATGCTATAGCTGTTGCGTATGACACCGCTTTGATAAACGAAGAAGAATTTGCACTTTTGTATGATGTTTTTCGTTAAAGAATCCAGAATTAAAACATGGCGACTTTTCATCTTTTAATTTGGAGGAAATTGATGAAGTTACATGTGCTGTAGACTTTCGTTTTGAGAAACACGAAATTCCTTGCTGGCTGAAGCGTTAGGAGTTTCGTCATCGTTTCAAATGTGAACAAGAACAGTTTGTCTGGAAGCTCTCTGCCTTGTTCTTCGTTGGTTTGCTTATCCATGTAGATACAGTGATCTAGTACTGCAGTTTGGAAGGTCTGTTCCAGAACTCAGCATGATGATGTTGACTACATTTTTGAGATGTATGGGCCAAAAAAACCTGTTGGAATCACCAATTGCTCAGCCCAGAACATCTGAAGATTTATGCTGAAACCGTCCATCAAAAAGGAGCAGCTCTTGATAATTGCTTTGGTTTCATTGATGGGACAGTAAGGCAGATTTGTAGGCCAGGTGAAATGCAGCGAATAGTGTACAATGGTCACAATAGGGTCAATCAGTTACACTTCCAAATGGAATAATTGCAAACATGTTTGGACCAATAGGTAAATGCAATGTCAAGGGCAAATTCTGTTTGAAAACAAACTGAGTTATTTTTCTTTTATAAGGAAGAAGGCATGATTCTGCCATGCTGGATGAGTCAGGACTTCTGAATGACCTTGAAAAGTTGGCTCATTGGAATGGAAAACCTATGTGCCTTTATGGAAATCCTGCATATCCTCTGCGCATTCCCTTGCAAGCACCATACCAAAACCTACCACTAACCATGCCAATGGAAGAATTTAATAAATTGATGAGTGCTGTGAGAATATCAGTGGAGTGGTTTTTGGTGACATAAACTAATTTAAATCCCTTGATTTTAAGAAGAATCTAAAAATTAGCTTAAGTTCTGTGTGCAAAATGTATATAGTTGCATCACTGCTCAGAAATGCTCTAACATGTCTTCAATGAAATATGACAAGTAACTTTTTCAGTTGGAGACACCCTCTCTTCAAAAATATTTCTCATAATTTTTCTGAATGTTTGTATTTCTTGTTTCTCATACATTGTAATTACAAATTATATTTTTTGTCTGCAATTTTTGGTAAAAAAACATGATTAGTTTATTTGTCAGTAACTTTTGATAAAAGAGCTACTAGGGCTTGTGATTGTTGTTGCTGTTGTTGAACCAGTAACATTTGATTTGTTTGAATTTGCTAGTTTTGTTGCCTTTGCAATTCAATTACGTTTTGCAGCAACTGATTTTGTTTCTCCACGAGTTGCTGTTGACTTTCTCTCTCATTTGTGATTGTAGCCTTTGTATTTCTATTCTCTTTCTTATCAATGTTAAGCTTTCCTCTCTTAATTTTCTTTCCCCCTTTTCTTTTAGAAACTCTAAAGTAGAATCTCCTCCTTTCCTAACTTTTTCTAGTACCGCCTTCTTCGCTTTCCTTTCGCTTTCTGGTTTCGAATAGGTTTTCTATAGCCTTTCTTCTTATCTCCTCTGCTTCTTCTTTGTCTGCATTATTTTTCTTCTTTCTACAGCTGTAGCCTCAGCAACAACAACATCACTAGCTTTTTCTCTAGCATGAAACGTCTTGACACAACAACTTCTCTGCACAGTTCGACATCATGCTTTGTTGTCCACTTCATAACAAAACTGATTCTAAAACAATTTAGAAATATATAGTAGCCAAAATTGATATATGAGTACCCGTTGCATAGTATTTTTATGCAAACATAAAAGGGGATCAAAAACCGTTATTACAAAGTAAGAAAAATTTGAAAGCCACAGGATGATAATTTAGCTAAACAATTAATTTAACTCACGGTGAATTTCGTGGTGTCTTGATGAGCAATCACTTGATGCTGATGAAAACTGTTGTTCTGCCATTTTCATGCCTTGCTAAAAGCAAGAATGTAAAAATATTTTACTCACAGATAAATATCAACACATCAATCACATACCACATTGCATAGACAATTGTACTAGGTGAATTAAAAGCTCAAATACTTGCTTCAAAACTTTTTTTCTGAAAAATTCCACCTTCGATGTAGGACAACGTGGGATTAAGAAAAGTGACCGCGTTGTAGAAGCGCGACAAAATTCAACAACGCACGAACATGCGCATTGGTGTAAAATTCATTTACGCTCGCGTTGTAGCTGAGCTCCTCGTTAAATCTTAAGGTCACTAATATCGATTTCTATGGATCAGTTTGGATATTATTTTTGATAAACCATGAGATCACATTACCATAATGATGACTGCTAACCGAGATCTTGAAATTGCAAGCAAAAATTAGACAAACTCATTATTGGTGTAAACCACGATTTTTAACTCGATGCCTTGTGTATAATTCGTTGATTGAAAAGCTTTGGCTGCGCTGTTCAGTATATTATGACACCACACTAATTCACTAACAATATTTCTTTATTCAGGTAAAGCAACATTTAGCCAGACATGAAAACGGCAACAGATGACCTCATAAATGCTTTGGGAAATCCAGGAAAATTTCAAGTACTTTTGTATCTTTATCTCGCAACAAATTGGACTTATTGTTCTTGGAATCATCTTGGGATGGCTTTTCTTGCAGCAAAGACTGATTATTCGTGTAAAATTGATAACAACTCTAACGCCACTCCACTGGCTTCTCTTCCGTTTTTGGAGAACGGGAAGCGGCAGTATGATCGATGCCATGTTTATGGCGGCTTTAATTCAACTGAAAAAATACCCTGTCCAAATGGCTGGATATATAAGCTACCAGACCGCGAAAGCACAATAATATCAGAGGTATATTTAGGGTATACTTGCAACTTGAAATCATTTTACATTCATATGCATTGAAATCGGTAAAAATACATGTAGGCCACAACTTCGTTAAAATATACTGTTATTGTAAAACTTTTGATCTGATACAAATTTTTACAACATGCAAATAAATATTGGCGTTGTCAACTTTGGGATTTTATCCAAAGATCTCGGGCTTTTATGAAAAATGCTGGGATTCTTTTACGATTTTTATTATAAAAAGTAGTTTTGGAGATTTTTATTTTTAAGTTCAAGAATTAAGATTTAATTACTAGCTTTTTGCGACAATTGATTTTTTTCTGCACGTTTTGATAATAATAAGCACTACAAAAATATAGTTTTGAATTTCAACATTGGTTCAAATGGTAAAGAAGTGGCGTAGCCTATAGATAGAAACAAAACTCTGAAATATATAACCAGGCGCAGATCCAGCTGAAACCCTGACACTATCGCACTTCAAAATTACGGATGTTCGGGGGAGGGGGTACGGTAAATATTTCTTTACAAAAATATTTTAGTTGGAGAATCGGAAATGTTGTTACTTCTGTAAGCCTCAATAAGTTTTAAAGTCCAAAACAAGAGAATCGCATCACAGCAAAACTTACATACGGACTGCCATTAAGATAATCTCTTGGATAAATGCAAAGTGTATCTAAACATTTAGAGAAGTAATCCAAATTTTCCTACAGTATCATATAACAAGATTAAGTAGGTAGTAGACTAAGCACAATGAATTATTGTGGACTGAGACAAGTGTGAATATCAAGGATATAATTGAAAATGTATAATTTATCCACTTTTATTAAAACTGCAGTAATTTTTATAGAAATTTATAATAACATTCAAAGGAGTCAGGAGTTAGCTGCATCATTTATGTCACAGGCGAAGGGAATTTTAAGTGAACTGGACACTCTAGTTGCTTGTACTGAATGATATAATAATAAGTCGAATTTAACTTGTAATCTTGGACAGTTCAAGACTTATGAGGTATCTGAAGTGCGCATACAGACTCCCTTTCCAGGAAAATGTAACAGAACATGCACTGAATAGACCATTCACACTAGCTAAGGTACAAAAAAGCATTTAGTATTTGGGCCTGAATTTCTATTTTGTGAATATTTTGTTATTATTTGTAAATAAATGTTTGAGTAGAATGTCAGCTTCCCTGCGCTGCAAAGTAACTTTGTCCTTATCTTTGAAAAAAAAAACAACTCAAATTATACTATACCTGGAAAAGAATTTTCCTTGAGTGAGATTTAACAAAATAGCTACCTGAAGATATTTCCTTTCCAAAATGCCCTTTTCTTTTTTTGCATGTTCTTAAAATGTTTTACAAAATGACTACTATTTGACTAAAAAAATCATAATAATATTCAACAGGATAACCAAAATCAATGCTGTAAATTTGGTTATGAAAAAATTGAGCATTGACAATCATAGTTATATTATTAATATTACAGGCAGCTGAATTTGAGACCATAAGTCATGGAGTTGTTTAGACGAGCAACAAAGTATGACTCTGAGGATTTGATTGACATAATGATTCATGACAACATGAATATTTTGGTTCGTCCCCTTCAACTAGGGGCCAGTTATTTAAATAGCAGCTTCATTAGCAGTAGGTTAACATATAATGCAATGAAACCTCTGCATGAAGTTCGTTGGCATGAAGAAGTGTGGAGGTAAATTGCAGGTAGAATACAGTATAGATAAAAACACTATGAATTTAAATTTTAATGAAAGATTAGTCACAACATAGGACTTAATAATAAAGCAAAATATTTCATTTCACATTCAACAATAAATTAATGAGCAGAACACTGTTTCCAAATAATAACAATTTTAGAAAAAGTTTATGTATTACAAACATTGCACATGCTACTAGATGGATATAGAAAAAAATTGCCAATTGGTACTTATATTGATTGTTCGCCGTGGATATTCATCTGACATCAGAACTCAATGTTCAAACGCTATTCTTCCGACATAACTATTTATGTCTTAAAAACTTAAATAAACCTGACCCAAACCCAAACCCTGACCCTAACCCTTACCCTTACCATAATCATTGTTATATTTTTATGTTTTGGTTGAAAAAAATGAAAGATTAAGTCGATTTTGAGAACGACAAAATTATTGAATAATTCGACCAAATCTGATCTGTAGGGGTGGGTTTCGAACTCGTATAACTAGGCTTCATTCACATTGCTCTTACCACTAAACTTCACAAACATCGATAAGCGTGTCAAAAAGCATGTAAAAAGTAATTTTATAAAATAGGCAACATGTATACGCGAAAAGTAAAACTAGATGTCGGATGAATATACACGACGTTTAATTTTTTAGTCCCAGCTGTAAAAGCAAATTTAATATATGCGGTTTAAACATTCTTACCAAACAGGGACATTACGTCTGGATCTTTCAAAATTTCAATAAGAGCTGTAGTTTATAAGTTTCTGATGTTTGCAGTATGATATCACTAATGGAGCTTGTACAGCATAGCCTTTCTTCGCTGGTTATTTCCTCCTCTCAATCACATTGTTGATATAAGAGACACTAAAATATTTTTGCTTAAAACTTCTATTTGAAATTAGAAAGTTTCCCATGACTTTCCAATAACGCCAATCTTTTTCCATTCTTCTATCAAACAGTGAACAGAAGTAGCAATAGCTTTTGGGTTGTGATTTTATAATCTGGTGAAGTAGATGAGTATCGAGGATTTGAAGTTTATTGTTGATCACTTGCATTACGCAATCAAAATGCATCGACCGTGGCTCACGGTGGCTCACATGACTATATATCGCCCTGTGATTGGTTTGCATCCCAGCACCGTGACTGAAGATTACTATATTTAGCGTTTAACTGCATAGTTTTACTAATAAGCAAGATGTTTATTTTTGTGTTTTTGTGCTTTTTTCAAAAACCATATTAAAAAGACAGCAAATTATGAAAAATAAAGTCTAATTATTTCATTAAAGACACATTTTTGGTCAATTTTGCTGTATTTCAAGTATTTACAGCAAAATTACTCATCTTATTCATAAAATGTAATCTCAAAAGTTTGAAAATTCTGATCGTGGCTAGAGCCACTTTCGCCACGGTCCGGATCCGCGCCTGTATAATAACGATCTATGTTTAGAGTTTAGTCTCTCACACCGGTAGCCCTGGAACAAAAGAGAGAAAGTTGGTATTTTTAAAGAATCGTTTGCAATTACAGTTGGCAGTTCTTGGATTTTGTACATTTTACAAAAGTAGTTCACTTGAGAACGTTTAACTGCGGAATCAATATCCCGATTTATTTTCTTGCTTCTCTCTCAAACAACACATATGATAAACTTGCCTTATCATGTTATTAAAACGGTATGTACTTTTGTAGGTTACTATTCTTTTCTTTTCTTTTCAGTGGGATCTGGTCTGTGGTAATGCTTACAAAGCAAGCCTCTCAATAACATTGTATTTTGTTGGAGTAATGTTGGGTAGTTTGACTTTTGGTTTGCTTTCTGACAAGTTTGGAAGAAGACCAGTTTTTCTATGCACAATGACAACTCCGTTTTTTGTTGGTTTGCCACTTTTATTTACGAAGAACTTTGCTGTTTTTGTTGCTCTGCGGTTGCTATTAGGATTTCTTATCCAGGTAAGATTTTAATTGCATGGTTGCAATACAGATATATGTTTTAAACATGGTATAACTAAATTTAGTCATGCAGACGAAATTGAGACGCAGTCGGATATTTAGGTAAACTAGGGGGCACGGGCGTCAATCCTGCGATAATTGGGAGGAAACATATTCATATATTCTGTCATTATAGGGGTTTTATAGCATTTTATTCAATTGTAATGAGTAATTTCCATTTAGAGAGTTTGCTGTTCTCCTCCTTTTACTCAAATATACAAAAACTATTGAATGAAATTGAGCTTGCTAACTTTCTGAGAAATAGATAACCATATGGAACATTTTATGTTATAGAATAACTGGATTTTGTAACTAATATGTTAATAAAGTAAATGGTTTGAACCCGGAAGTATCGTTACATGTTTGTAAATGTAGATCGTCCAGGTTGGTATAGTCCTGAGAAATACTGTTTTTTTTGTTGTTGACTTACTTTTGCTGTTGATTAGTCAAAAACAACAAAAAGAGTCTTTCTCAGGACTATACCAACCTGGACGATCTACATTTACAAACATGTAATATGTTAATTTAGATTCAAAAGTTACATTTTACTTATTTTGTCACATTTTATTCAGTGTAATCATCATAAATGGACTGCTCACTATATACATGGCATAATCAAAATTAATGAAATATTTCACAAGCTTACCGCTAAATATTTAGCTTATGTCTATTGTTTAATTTTGATCCCAAACTCTTATTTTTCGCTTTGTTTCGAGTCACTTACTCATGTAAAGAATTGTGCGATGACATTTTTGGGCGCACGTGTTCTATCGAACTATGTTCTGCTGTCAAATTACATAGAAGTTCAGTATAGTTTTGATAGAACAAATAGCACTCATTTTGCTCTTAAACTATAAGTCATATACGTCTTGAGTCTCCAGTAAGCGCGTGGGAAGTTTATGAAATTGAAAGTATCAATCAATACATTTATCAAAAAAAAAGATTGCATTTGTTTTTGATTAATTTTAGATTGGTATTGAATTTAGTAAGAAAAAATCAAGATAAGCATGTCAAGCCTCGTGTTTTTTTGACAGATTGTTTTTAATATTTCAGTAATGAATTATTAAATTTTTGCGCAGGGTGTACAAATTGTGAGTTTTACGAGAATGATTGAAATAACCTCAACTCGGTATCGTACATACAGTGGATTTGGTGTTGGATTTCCGTGGGCCATAGGAATGATGTTGTTTTCATTATTTTCGTATCTAATTAAAGATTGGCGTTACATACAATTGCTTTCTACAACAGTGTGTCTCCTTCAAATTGGCCAATTTTGGTATGTATACTGCAGAAGGCTGTAACAAAGCTCATTTTTCATTTAAAATGTCATTATCATTAATTTGATACGAAATAGAACGTTTGAAAACCTTATAACTTGAGCTCATTTTCCATCTTTTTACACTGATCATGTAAGATGAATTAGATTTAAATCATTTATCATCATCATGTGCAAAAATTTCTCTTAGGTTTTTACCTGAGTCAATTCGTTGGTTGTTGATAAATCAATGTTTTGACAAAGCAGAAAACGTTGTTCACAAAATAAGTAAATTTAACAATATTCCTGTGCCAACGACACTTATGCAAGGGACCATAAATGAAGTAAAAGATAAACAACAATCAGAAGATGAAACTGAACAACAAAAAATTACATTTGTTTTTAACTTGCTCAAGTCCAATGTTCTACGAAGACGAACTTTGATATTGATGGTTGTGTGGTAAGCATTTTAACTCACAATAATTTTAAAGTCTTTTACATTTTATGACAATGTCTTGTGTTATGTTTTTTGTGAAAATTCTTCTTCTAAATAATTACTTTATGAATTCGGATGGAAGTACAGGGAAATGTTTGCGCATTTCAAACCCATGCAGGACATGAAAATTCATTCAGGAATAGCAATATCTAAGGCCAGTGTCAAAGCATCGAAATTTATATGTAGATTTAATTCGTAGTTATCTTTTGTTTTCAATGGATTGTGCATATTACGTTCGACGTTTAAATTTTGATTAAAAATTTAATAACTTTCTTAATTTGGCAGCTATATTTTTTAAGCCTATACTCGTGTTTTAGTCGTTTCTTTTTTTTGTTATCGTTTGCAAGTGCATAATAATAATTTCACCCTATGTCACTTATTTTGGCATTTTTCAAATAAATGACATAAAGTGATATTATTATTGTGTATTTGCAGTAACATACACGAGATACTGTTGCTTCAATTTTACGCTTTGTTTACTTTGTTTATGAGTTTCAAATTCGTTTGATACTTAAATTATGTGTTTCACAAGGAGTTTAACACATGAATATTAAGTCATCTATGCTGTTATTATCTATACTCAGGTTTTCCACCTCTCTTGGTTACTACGGTCTCACTCTTAATATCTCTAATCTGGCGGGAAGTAAATACCTCAATTACTTTATCAGCGCTGTACTGGAGATTTTCATCGTCATCGTCACGATCAGTATATCTAAACGGTAAATATTTGTAAGCATGTATACTTTTATTTTAAAATATCCAAAGTAAGCCATAAAAGTATAAAAAAATTGCAAATGTTTAGAAATTTGCATCAATTGTTTAATGAAATCAACATTTCAAGCTAAGGAGTATAATTACCTTTTTTCTAAGTTTCGGACGACGTCGCCCACTCTCTGTTTACTGTCTAATTGGAGGCATTCTACTTATTATTGCTGGAGTGATACCAAAATCAAATTGTAAGTGACGTTTACCTTAAAAAGTTATGACTTTAGTTTTGATTATCCATGGATAAAATTAAAGTAAAGTAGTGTCAAAAAATTGTTGAGAAGAGAAATATTAAATATATAAGCAACAAGGTAAGAAAATTCTAAAAAATAAGGTAGGACAAATGGTGTCAAAGATACGGTTTAGATTTTTGAAAAGTTAGATTGCGATATTTTTCAAATATCAATTTCATCTAAAAAGTTTTTTTAAATCAACCTCCTCAAATTAACTAAAAAACATGCTGTTGAGGCATTATTTTGAGTGTTTTAGCTAAATGACAGCATTCTTGAAATAAATGCGAAAAAAAGTCAAACAACAGAAATCCAAAGGAGAAATTTATTAGAGTTTTTAATTTTAAGAAGCCAATTTCCATGAATCTACTTCTAAATAATATTTTTTTTATTATACTCTAGCAAGAATTCATGTGTTAGTGACCATCATGGCATTAATCGGAAGAATGTTTTTGACAGGAATCTTTTCCATCATATTCGTATTTACGTCAGAACTATATCCAACACCCATGAGGTTAGTAAATACTTTTACGAAATCTCACTATTAACGCAGTGTAAAGATTAGCACAATGTACTTCACGTAGCGAAAGCACTTGTTTGTCTAGATTTCATAATTTGGTAATGTGCATGTGCATGATGTTGATATAAATTATGATGTCATCGCTAAGCGGAGACTTGGTTGTGATTTTGTGGTTACAAGCAAAACTATTGGTCTGAATTACTATATCATGAACTGAGAGAGAAACCAATAGCAGTGAATTTGTGTTTCGTAAGCAATGTCTTTATTAAATTTTCAAAAAACCTGTTTTGCCACCCATCCAAAAAATTCCTGTGTGAAAAAATGTCTTGTAACGTTTCTGTAAATATAAATGTGAGTGTCATGCTCGCTATGTATAGGTAGAAATTCTCTAATACTAAGGTTAAGTGATAAAATGAAACAGCATATGTATCCTATTCTGTTTAGAAATAAAAATACTCTTTCCCAATAATAACCAAGGCGTGATTGTAAAAATTGTGATTTAATTTTTTATGACTGCCATTTGTAAATATATTTGAGTAACACATTTTTAATGTGCTGACTCTTACTCATATGACAATTTTAGAATTGTTAAAAGATTTTCTCATTATTCCAAACAAGCATCATGGATTACGTATTAATTAAGTTCACTAACTGCATGCTCTGCCGTCAAAACTATTGTGTCTTTAACTTGTCTCTGTTTCAATCTTCCCCTCCCCATTCTTCACTGTTCTTATTATCAATACAAGTGAGTAGACGTACGTGACACTTGATGAGAATTTTGCTGTTATTTACTGTGTCATTTATTTTCATAGCTATATCATTATTTTTGTTTTAAAGAATTTTTGTACGTCATTCATCATGACAAATACACTATTCAGAGTAGTGTTGTTATACTTCGTTTCAACGATATAGATTTTTAATCCCCTCCCCCCATCTCGGCTTTCATCTACAGGGAGCAACATAAGTATTTTACAGCAGTACTTTTTATTTTTGTTTAGTGATCTCCATATTAGAATGATTTGATGACAAATAGTTAAAGTCATAGTTAAATTTCCTTTAAATGTCGTTACAAGCTTTTTTATTCTTTCCTTCAAAGTACTTTTGTCTGTTTTTGTTCATTGCAAACAATTACACTCTTTCCTTACAAATAACTCTTCAATAACACGCATGGTGCGATACAATAATAGAACTTTAAAAAACTCATTTGGATGAACGGAAATGTAACATTTGTGAAAGTTTGATTAGATTAATTAATCACTGAAGATATAAAAGGCGAAATTTAGTAACCTATTTCAACAAACGAATTATTGCATATTCTTTTTGTATTAATTGTTAAATAGTCTTTGGTAAATAATGATAATAATAATAATGCGCTATGCAATTATCAAATTTGGTCAATTCCGATCATTGACAAAACAATCTATTTTTAAAAAATTTTGAATTTCACAAGCACTGCAGCATATCAACAAATTCTGCTATTATTTGCTGATTGTCAAAGTTCGTTTGGCCACTTTTTCATTGGCAGAAAGTGTGTCACGTAAAAGTAAAAAAAATAAGCCGTTTCTTTGCAATTTGCTTGAGAGTGAGATAATACGTTAATTTAGGATGAAAATAAAAAAAATCCCGTCTCTTAGGTGAAAATAAAGTGAAAATGCTACCTTACCCATACTTTGGCAAGCAGTTGACAATGTTCGAAAATGAACAGAGAAATTTTCCGAGTATTTTTTTATTTGTTGTCATTTTTTTTATTAAAAATGTACAATAAAACACTTTGTGACTGAAATCTCGAAAAACAACGTGTTTTGTCGACTATCAATTAGACACTCTAGTTCCCTCGGTTTCAGTCAATAATTATTAAATTATTATGCTTTGAAACATTTAACAAAATTTTGCATTCTCACAGAAACCTTGGTCTTGGAGTTGGAATATTCTGGGCTAGAGTTGGTAGCATTGCTGCTCCTCAAATTTTGCTTTTGGTTAGTATTTTGTGTACTCTCTTTACTTATCTAACAAGTTGGAATACCTCGATGTTAGAAAGTTTTAAGTGTTCTTAGATCACGACCGACAATAAAATTTAGTATCTGCACCGATTTTATGTTAGACGTTTTGTATTTTTATTTTTAAGGCGACTAAATAGGAAAGACTTGCATGCATTTATAATATTAGGAAAGATTTTTTCACCAATATCAATCTTTTAAAACACATCCAGGTTTTTTGGTTTTTCTGTCTGTAATTTATCATTCCTTGCACACATGTATATAATGATGATATTTAGCCATGAATATGATCAACAGCAACATAGGTAATTTTCATTGCATGATAAGCATCTTTGTAAGTGATATTTGATAAAAAAGTGCTCTCAAAAGTGCTACTAAAATTACTTTTTTAAAAACCATTGATGAATGTAACAGTAGATCTGAGGCAAATCAGATTATGTTGCTTAAATTTCTTGTTTTGCACGTATTTGCAAAGTTTTAAGAAGCCCACTTCAAACAAACTGGGCTTTTAATCTTTCGTATTTTATATATATCTACAGTCAAACTAAAAAAATAACATTTTATTATACTGCATACAAATAGTTTGAAAACAGATTTGATATATTATAAAATTTTCTTGCATCGTGTTATTTCCCGAATTCTACGGGTTATTGTAAACTGTGTAAGCTGTGGTTATTTTCTCCTTTGAATGAGGCAATGAATACATTTATGCAGGTGATTGTTCAATGGTCTCATAAGAGTGATGTTTTCTCTATTTTCAATTATTTGCAGAACAATTCCCCTGTAAAACTTGCAATCCTACTTGTAGCTATAAGGCTTTTTATATTAAACTTTTTTTTATAGAAATTTATTGTGAACACTGTTGTTAGCACGAAGATAATTTAACTTAACTTTCTCAATATTTTATTCAGGGAACTTACACCAGTGATGTGATGTCTATGTTGACGTTTGGCTGTCTCGTGTTGATATGTGGAATTCTTGTGTGCTGGTTGCCTGAAACTTTTAATGTACATTTGCCCGAGTGCATGAAGGACGCAGAAAAGCAAGTCGCTAAACGAAAGAAACAAGACAAAGCTTGTATTGAGAATGAAGAATCAAAAGACGTGGAACTCAAACCACTAAACAAAAATGCTAAGAATTAATGGCAATTGAGATAGGCCTAGCTGTTTACCAAAATATAAGCATGCATGTACCTTACATACTGTCCTCAATACAAGATTTTTTATAAAAGGCTTACAACATAATCAATAATTGTTATCTAAATTCTACTAACAAACTTTTATTTTGTAACAAAATGCTTTTGAAAACTGCTCATTGTACACTTTTATTTGCAAATTTGATCAATAGTTTTAGCACCTATAAAATGAAAACTTCCACGGGTGCAATACAGTGGTGAGTGAAGAGTAGGTCAAAGCACATTTTTACAAATGTATATTCAAATTACAATATTTTACAATTATTCCTATTTGTGTTTTTCGTCTTTAATTTTGAGCAACGTTGTTCTAGTAGTACTTTGAATTCAAAATGAGTGGTATCCTGGGTCTTCCACTACGTGCGTTTATTAATAAGCCCTTAATAACCAAGCGCGAGAGTTTACGAAAAGTAATCGAAGTTTTTTTGTACAGATCGAGCCCGTAAGCAAGGTATGTACAAAAAGAAAGAGGTCCGATATTTCTCACTAAAGACCGAAAAAGCAGGGTTACTAAAAGGTTTATTACATGGCATTATTTGACTTAAAACGAAATTTTTTTGTTTTCTCGTTCTTGGTGTTTTGTACGGGTTGGCTTTCACTTTTTTAGTTTTTGTCCATAAAAAATAAATCGTTCCAAATTGTCTGCATAATTAAACCATTTTCCAAGTGTTTCGTTTATTTTACGTTTTGCTGTTTGCATTACGAAGTTTGTTTACATTGACTGTAAAATTACGCGTTTTGGACCGTGGTCGATGTTTCTGAGCCAATCAAAGCGGACCATTTCGCCGGAAGTGACGCTTGCCACATAAAAATCAAGCTTAATATTTAATGTGTTAAGTCAGCATACCATGCATGCTTGTTTTTAATTAGATGATTACATATTATGACAAACTATATATATATTTAACAAAATCAAACAAAAACTAGCCCCCCTTCTTTGCATGCACTTATTCTAAAAGAACTGCGTTTTCTATGAAGATTACATTTATAAACGTGCGTTAAGTTTCTTTTAGTAAGATTTACTTTCTTTGGCATTGCTCTATAGCAATATTAAATAAATAACGAAGTGCATGATATAATAGTTTGCATATGGAGAACAAGAAATTGTTTGGTAAATAGACTACGAAAATTTTTACGTCATACCCAGAATACAGGATGTATAATAATGAAATAATGCATTGAAAAGATAATTGTGTTGGCAAAATCACGCAATAGAGTGTGACTTAGCAATGGGCAAACAGCTTCTGTCAAGTAATTCTGTGCTAAGGCACACACAGATGCTAAAGTTTGTAGTCTACAGAATTGCATGTCTGTGCTTTCTGTAAAAACAAGGATGGTGCTATTTATCAATCTTAATATCTGCTCCTTTGTCGACAGAATTAGGTCGTTTTCAAATTAGCTTTATTTTGATGATTACTCATCCTACCATCCTGAATGAATTATCATCGAGACAACTGACGTAAATACAATTTTTTTACCCTTAATTTCGTTTTCTTGTGTTTTCTTGGGTTTTTAGTCTCTTTACCATGGCACTTGCGGTTTTTAAGGCAATATTTAAACTTGGCTCCACGACAAAGTCTCTGTTTATAAATTCATTCAGCAGTTGAACTTCTAAAGAGCATTGTTTTCATCCTTTTTTTTTTATAGAAAAAGGCATTTGTGATTTCCTGAGTGAGCGAGATAAAGGCTTTTCTATCTATTTATAACATGATTATATTATTTTCTTTTGCAAATAGTTTCTTTGCTACCTTACTTGAGATCTGAATCTTAACAGATATAGCAAATACCATAAGAATAGCTATAAATTGCTAGCATATTGGAACCCTTACGGTAGCTTGATAAAACTGTCATTTTTTTCACAGTGAAACACTTTCTTCTATATTGCCTCATCCCTGACAAAGAAGTTGTTGTAAAGTTGCCATGTCAATCCAATCATATTTTTCAATCTTCAGTGACGTCTTTCATTGAGTTTTATCTTATCGGCTAGTACAGCCACCCAATTATTATATTAATCATATTTATATATTATTGTGTAGAAGTGTAATATCTTTCACATTTTCTCAGGTAAATAAGCGTGAGCTTACATGTTTACTTGAGTGGGCAATTCCATAGAAAACTAAAATTTCTAAAAATACGCGTTATTAGATAAAGGTCAGTAGAAGCACTTTTAGTAACTTGTCAAATACTACACAAGTCAAAACTTCGTTATCTAACTGTTGATTTGAAGTCCAGCAGATTTTACTGCTTTTAAAGAGCTGTATAATTTGAAAACAGCCTAAATAATATTCAAAAGAGCTATATAACTTGCTATATAATTTGAAAAACACCCTAAATAATATTCAAAATTCTGCAAAGTGCGTACGTAAACAGAAGCTCTCAACAGGTCTAACTTAGAAAAGCTCAATGAAGTTGATAATTTCTTTTGTAAAGAACAACAAGCCTATATATATATGCAGCATATCATTAGATTTCATATCATACACATCATGCTTTTTTATTTACTTAAACGAAAAAAATTTCTTTAAAATATTTGTGTGGAACCAGTAGGGGTAGTAACATAAAATTTTTGTGATGCGACTAGAGCTTTTATGATAGCTATCTGAGCAATATTTTTCATGAAAATTCTCTCATCAAGAGAAGCATTATTTAAGGCATTATCACGGTTTTGAATTCAACTGGAAAAGACATGCACGAAATAGTTTTCTTTGGACTATAAAAATTGGACGGGTGCAATTTGAAGTCTTAAAAAATGAAAGTGCTTGTTTTCTAAATTGCACGAGACGCTGTGCAATTTCTTTTCAATAACATATACATCACTTAGGTTAGTACAGTCTTGACAACAATTGACATTGTTAATAATCATTGTTGGTTGACGTTTCGACAATCTTAGCAGCAGTCATGTCAGGCTTATACGAGCTTGTTGATCGATATACATAACTTGCCGGCTGAAATTTGCGTACACTGATTCGCTGAAGTAAAAATTAACAGAATGCAGAATTTTTTCCTGTATAACAATCACAATGGAAGTTGCAGAGCGCATATAGGTAAAAAACAGTGTGAGTAGCGAAAAATTTCAAGAGAAGACAAGTTGTCCACTTAAAAGACGTCAAATCTTAGTACCAGGATTTAATGCAGATTTCAGCACTATTATCCCATATTTAAATGAAAGTTTTTCTCCATTTAGCAGTAAAAAAGTGAAGTTACACCAAAAAGCAAGTGAAATAGATGTTAATTTTGAGTTCGCACTCCTTGTGACATGCATTTACAACTGTTTCATGATTTCAATATACAGTACAGACGTGACATTAGACATACACTTTACATTACACTTATACATGACATAAAAGCATAACCTAACATTGTCTGATTCTGTTCAGTAAATATTTGGTCTACACAGGTCTACTAAAGAAAATTAAGGAGAAATTCTTGTGTTTTTACTAATCAAACGTTTTTGAAATGTTGTTGTTTTATCTTCTTACCAAAACACCCTGTTTGATTACAAGTTTTTTTACCAATATCTTCTTAAATAAAATCTTTCGCCAATAAAATACATTTTGCAATTTTTTTTATCAAATGTAATATATTTTTAATGTAAACACACTAAATGACATGTAAGGCTAACGTCTAACTTCGTACTAGAGCCTTTTGAAATTTTTTCGATTTTTATACACATATTCACAAGTAAATATAAACTTATAAAACAGTGAAAGTGAGCACATTTCGTAAACTATAAACTCTGAAATTCAAATTCCTGTGACAAGGATACAATAATGATGAACTAATTAGTTAATCCATATGAAAATGAGACTTTAGCGAACGAGGTCAGAGGAAATTTATGTCAGCCGAAGAAGATGCATATGGTCTAGATCCTCAAGAATTAGAAGTGAGATTCTAAATGTCTGTACAATTGGATAAATGGCTCGTTGATAAATGTAGGTAGAACTCATTAGCTGTGTTACTCTATACGAAGATTATCCCATATGAGACATACTACAATCCTGAAGGATGTTGGTCTGCTTCAAAGAGAAAAAGACTGAAGGTTGTACAAGCGTCGTGGAGCTGGGGCAGATCTAGGATTTTTGAACGTGAGTAAAAAAAAGCCAAAAGCGTTTTGGCGAAATTTTAGAGTAAGGGCTAATAATATTTTGCAGGCATCGTTTGCACTAAATATTAACATTTTCATTGCATTTTTTTTTAGTGATATGGTAAACAATTCTTACATATTTGGCTGTTTCATCCAATGTCATGGCTCATTAGCATTCCTAGGAATTACATACTGATAAGAAATATTGTGATTCTAAACATAGAAAATTTTGAGTAAAACTCTGGCAATCTGGCGTTAGACTAAACCAAATACTTAAGCTTCAAAAAAAGGTAAAATTAGCAGAATTTTTAATCACCAAAATGACGATGTTCTAGGTAGATAATTGCACTTTTTGAAAAAAATGATGATTTCAATTATAAATAAACAAGGCAATTTTACAAAGTACCTTGTATAGTCTAAGAATTACCACCATATGTAAATTTCAGATAATTATCATTATTCATGTCTGTAGAAATCTATTAATTTTACAGTGAGTGAACACAGAAGAATTAACATAGCACGACCAAAATTGCAGGCTGTCTAAAAAAGTAGATGTATTAATTTTAAATATCACCAAAAAATATACATACTGTACGTGTCATACTTCAATTATAGTTTTCATAACTTTTACCTGTATTTATTTGAGGTATCTTTGGTACTGGTTATTTATTCAACAGTGGAGCCTTTTTCATTTATTAGAAAAATGACAGAACTTTTAAAAATACAAACGACATTAAAATTGAAATATAATATGAACAATTTTAATGGTGGCCAATAACTTATGTAATATGGTTTCAACATAACATAAAGCTAGCATTAATAGAGGGCATAATTGTAGAAATAATTCATTTAAAACGGGAAAAATACAATGTACTATTATCGTTTATCGTTTAGAGCTTCGTGATGTTTTTGCGCGCTCTGACATATCTAGTATGTCAACCAACAAAACATGTGATTCCATCACCAACAAAACCAGAATTCCAATACGTTTTCTTATATGAAGTTCATCAGTGTTTATCTTCAACACTCCCCCTCACTCTATAACTAAGCAGTATGTAATATTCATTTATTCTGACACCAATCATCTTTCAAAGTTTGTTAAATTGGATCGAACTTAATCCCTTAGTGAAAATATCAGCCATCATTTACTCAGTGCGGCAGTGCTCCATTCTAACAGTTTCAT